ATCCTTACACCTGGGCGTGGCGGGCGATTAATCAACCTTTACCGTGATATGACGCAGCCAATTGCTGGATTTGCTGGAGATGCTGAAGCACTTCATTTGGAAGAGCAACACTGTGTGAATTTCCAGGTGAATTTCATGCGATCTTGATCCTGCGCATCATCCTTCATTGCTCCAGATGCTCAAAGGAATTTGAACTTTGGGAGACTGAGCGCCTGGAAGGCTCACCTGACTGAAGTTTCGATGGCGAAGTCGGGAGGCATCCTGCAGACTCGAGACCTGACATGGACCAGCTAGAGGTAGACAGCCAACTATAGAGAGTGCAAAGACAGCCCAAAAACCAGCACACCTGTAGAGTCGAGTGTCGGCAAAAGTTTTTGCGGAACATGCAGGTTCTCCTGGTTTTCTCTTGCTGACGCAGACTGGCCAACAGGCCGTGCCCGATCGACTGAAGGTTTTCCATGGTCCATTTGTTGCAGGAACAAGGAGACGTTGGCCGGCGCAATCCAGCAGACATCGGTCCAGGGTTCGCCCAAAGGCCATGTGATTTTTGGGGAGATCATGGGAAGACACGGGCCGACTTACCTTGCATCGATCAAAAGCTGCATGGAGCCCTTAACCAATCCGCCCACTTGGTGTCTTGCTGCGCTGACATGCGGGGCTCAGAATGGCCCAACCGATCGGTCTGATGTTGGAACCGATCGGTGTTCAACGCCTTACAAGCACTAAAAACAATCTTAAACTCCGAAAACCCTCGAGGGTTTTAAGCTTCAAGGCTTTGGACCTCCATTAATCTACGGTGATCACGGGCGAACCAACGCGTTTTGTATCCACCAGACGTCGTGGAACCTGTCCATGAGAGGAGAGAGGTTTTGCTTGGAGATCTCTTTAAGGTGGAGACCTTGGAGACCTTAAGAAGTTCGTTCCTTTCCGTTTTGTTTTGTTTTCGACACAAGAATTGTTGGAATTCGCTCAAGATTTTGGGATTTCCCCATGCTCCTCTCCTCCCCACCAGATGCAGACTCCACGCCGGCGAGCCGTTCCTTCTCGCAGCCCAACCCTGAGAGCCCCCCGCAGCCCAGCCACCCGGTGGTTCCGCGTATCATGGCAGATGGTTCGCTGGCAGCGCTGGAAGAGCGGGTGCAGAGGCTCTCGGAAGAGGTCCGAGGGAAGCGAATGACCAAGCTGGCAGCCGAGGACCAACGATTTGGCGTCCAAAAACCCGGCGATCGATTTGGACCTACCTAGATGGAAGATTGACAACCTGTTTGGTGACATTTCTGTTAAGATTACGTAGAGAAATCCATTAGTCATAGAATTGGTAACCTGGAAGATTGGCATGGAACCTGGCAAACATGAGGAAACTTGTCTTTGGGGTGTCTTTTGGGTGTTTTTTAAGTTGCAGGTTTTAACATGAATCTTCAGAGGTTAAGCAATAGGTTCTTTATCACAGTGGACGCGTCTTTTCTGCGTTCGTCCCTGTATGACTCCGCCGCGTCGTTTTGTGGGTTGGTGATCACAGTGGTTGCACCCTCGGCACCGCTTCCTTTTCTCACCGCTTCAAATCCTTTCCAAAACCAAAAGAACACACAGTCCCCGCTGGCGCAGGACGAGGGGACCAAGATCCTACAAGTTCCTCGGTGAGTCTGATGCCACTGCCGTCTGGCACCTGGCACTGGGCGGGCTGGGCACCCCAAGCTCCGACCTGACGGGTTGACCTCGCCGGTCATCGATTTGGTTCCTGTTCGGTGGTCAACCAGATTCGACCCACTGCCAGGTACGTGGGAGTCATGCCAGAGTCATCCCCTGGTTCGCCAGGTACGCAGGTAAACCAGCTTCTTTAGCCGTTTGTGACCGAACTGGAGGGTCTTCACCCGTTTGTACCTCTTTCGACCTTGTTTGGAGCTCAAAGGATCACATTGAACAACCCAGGCAGTTTTCTGGTCTTGTGATGGTATCATTCGTACATTGAACGTGTGCCACACACCCTCCAAGAAAGAAACACGGTTACGACGTGCGGTTACGACACCGGATGTGTCGGTGCAACCGATCGATCATGGATCCAACAGTGTGAGGAGTTTTTCCAGGCAGTCGATGTCTTCTCCTGGTAGATCCTGCTAGCTAGTGACTTGAAGGATTCCTTTGAGATCGATTTTTTTGAATCCCATTCTTTGGAAGCCTCCAGATTCTCCAGATCACAACTCACTGGTCCATTGGACCACATGGACAACTTAATGAGCTTAGGCGGCCGACAACTTACAGCTGGCGGGCGAAGAGCGTGCACGTCGACGTTGGTTGGTTCAGACGGTGAATGCTCTTTTGGACGCGGTGCCCGATGCTTCCAGCCCGTCTGGAAGCCCCGGAGGAAGCTCTCCACCCCTGCTGGAATTGACGGATGGGCGTACGGGCACACCGGTGGACGACCTGCTGTGCGCCGGGGAGCAGCTGCTGGCAGAAGTGGCCTGGCTTTGCAAACTCACTGAGCAGGCGATTGCGAACAACGAGGAGAGAGTGGAGCTTTCGAAAAGAGCCTGGCCCAATCAATGTCAGATTAGAGTGGGGGCAGGCTGCCAAGCTCAAAGGGGATTTCAAGCTTCAGATCTATTGGTTTGAAGGGCAGACCACCTTCGGCCAGGACCTCTGAGCCCAAAAAGCCTCAATTCCCACGACGCCCGCCCCTCGTCGCCCCTCGTCAGGACGCCTATCTCGTCTCCATCCTCCCGAAGATGGCGCAGCTCGAGGAGATCCAGCTGATGCGCATGCTGGGCAGGTGGGCGGCGCGCTCCCTTCCGGTGCCCAGCGAGCTACAACCGCATTTGCAGCGCTGTGTGCAGATGGTGAAGAGGATCCAAGACCTGGAGGTGCCTGGGTCGTGCCGCTGCGCGTGCCCTAAGGGCCGTGCCCGAAGGGCTTGGTAGACATCCCAAGGTGGCCTTAGAGTTCATGGCCACATGTAACGAAAAGAGTAGTAGGGCTGGGATCTATCACCAGGTAAAGGAGACCTTCTTCCCCCCAGAGGTGAAGCTCCAGCACTCAGGTGAAGCTCCAGCTGATCTTGGAAGCGCTGGACCGCCCTCACCATTCGGAGGCGAGATGGGCGGTCCAGGTGGTGAGATGTGGGTGAGGGCGGTCTGCCTTGGGCGGATGGAGACTCTCTCCAAAGTAAGGAGCTCTACATTGCCTGGGAATCATCATGGCAGTGGATGGCCCCTTGGATGACTCTTGTTCCACTTTTTATTTTTCCTCTACCAACAAGGGGGCACCATCCACTTCCGATGACTTCAGGGAGAGTGGAAGAAAGGTCTATCAAATTCATACCGCATTTTTCCGGATTTTCAGGCCTATGAAGCCCGTCGATCCCGTCACTTGTGAAGCCGGTGGCACGCGCGCGGTGGGGGTCATGTCTTTTCTCCTCCCCAAAAGAGGATTCTGGTCGCTCGCACAGAGAGTCTGGGAGCTCGTCAAGTTTCGGGAGCTCTTGAGATCCAGACTTGCATACTTCCGCAGAAGCCCCGAACGATGTCAGGCCTTCGTGCAGAAGGCCTGTGGTGTCTACCTGCAGCTCTTGGAATACCTCGAGAATCCCACCAGCGGCCAAGTGGAGCAGCTGACGAAGCAGCTGGTGAGTGAACGGAAGGAGGTGAAGAGCGATATCGCCTTCGTGAAAGATCGCTTGACATCACTGAGAAAGAGGCGGGTGACCAGTTGGTGAGTGGTGACCAGTGGTGAAAGAGAGGTTGAGGTGTTTGGAAGCTGAGTGGATCTTGATGAATTCAAGACTATCGAACATTTTCTCTCTGTGCTTCCTGATAGATGGTGATCCACTCCGGTGATTGTGTTCCGTTTGTTCCATGTCTTGTTGATCGACTTGATGGTTTGAAGTTTGAACCTGTTTGAATCCTTTAAAACACTCAAACATCCACGGACTCCAACAACTACTGTACTCCAAATCCCAAATCTCGGTCACCGCTCTGGTCCCCGCTTTTTTCGGCCACGGTGACCGCCCGCGACTGCTTCGGCTTCCGCAGGCATCGGATCCTGCGCTGCCTGGCGCCCAGCCGGACGGCGGTGGCCGCCATGACGGCCAAGGAGCTGCGGCTCTGCTTGCAGATCCACGAGCTGCCAGACCGAGGCTTCCGAGAGCGGCAGGACCGGCGGTGTCCGGCGGGCGGTTTCCACCACCACCGCCATGGAAGCCGTGGAAACCTGAGGGAGCGGTGTAGATGCGTGTTGATGCTGCGTGTAATTCCACGGGGGGGGTGCGCAGCTTCTTTCGCAGCATGGGGAGCTGCCCCTCCAACAAAACAAACGAGTGTACAGTACCCTCTGGCATCTATCGAGGCAAATGGAAGCCCAAAGGCTTGAGCTCTCCCACTCACCGCAAGCTTAAGGGTGCCGGTTTCAACCGTCAGGGCCGTCGGTTCCTTCAACAAAGCGGTCCCCAAGATTTACCTACATGGTGTTGTTGGTTTTGGGCTCTCCGACAGGACATCATCGACGAATTGGAGAAAGAGGGAATCCTTCAACCAGAGTGACTGGGCAGGACCACTACCAGTACACTGGAACCGGCCGTGGCTCCAGTAGCGTGATTCCCGCTGTGCCTGCGCGCGGAGTCCAGCAGAAGCTGAGCACTGTAATAGACCGGTGCCAGGGATGAGTCGTTTGCTTCTCTGGTGCACGTGTGCCGAAAAGCGAAGGCCGAACGCGCTGGTGTCAGCGGGCATCAAACAGCTTCATTGTTTGAATTTAGATGAATTTAGTCTGCCAGATGCTGCCAGTACTGAGGCCAAATGTCTACACAACAGCTCTGGTAAACCATCGCTCTCTTTTCGTTCGTGTCACTCCTTTGGGCCTAAATGGCAGTGGGTGAGAACATCTCAAAACCTCACCCACCAAACCATGGTTGCAGCTTTAACAATCCCGTATATAAAGAGGACTCTCTTCACGTGACCGGAAAGCAAAGCACCACGGGGGGCCCGACGGACGCTGTCCAGCGCCCGCAGGAGCAGCCCTCCGTGGCGACAGCCGCAGAAGCCATGGGTGCTCTGGCCCAGCGCATGGGTGAGAAAGGACGGGTGTGGTGGGTGCTGGTGCTGGTGCTAGTGCTGGTGCTGGTGCTGGTGTGGGTGGGTGTGAAGACCTATAAATAGAGTCGCCACCTGTCAGAATTCCACCATTGAATTGGCAGTGTCTTTTTTTCCATGAAACAGATCGGGGCTTTCTGCTCAGTGGTTTTGGACACCATTTGCAGCGTGGCCGCGTGTCCTTTTTGGCCCTTCCAAGGCGCCTTCCATCATGGCAGGCATGGGCCTCACTTCTCTCGAGGCGAGATGAACCTTTTTTCTGCGTCGGGTGGAAGGATCATCTGGCGCACGCCTCTAAGCTGCTTGAAGTTCTGCCATGAACCATGGAAGTTCATGACCTCTAACAGTAGTGCTAGGTCACTCGAAGAGCCTCGAAGAGCCGGTGCTTTTTAAAGGTCTAAGTCTTGGATTTCTTCCGTCATCAACGACCTTGAGGTCGTCAGCCCTCGTGAGGTGGCTCCATTGAGGTGTTCCAATCGAAGGGAAAGGAAGGGCAAGAAAGGGCATCCTCCCAAAACATCCAGAGACACCACATCCTGAGATGCCACCGAGTTGTATGTAAAAGGAACGCTTTGAGATACATCTGGCTAAAGGCCAAGGGAGTTTTGAGATGCATCCCCAAGGCTCAAAGGATGAGCTCCAGCTTCGCGCTCCCTTCTCAGGCGAAAACCGTCCTCGTGTTCCGGCCCCGTAGCAAACTCAGAGGATGGTGGCCGAGAAGGACCAGGACGTGGCTCTTGGTTACTGGCTGATGTTTCCATCTAGGGCGCTCTGGTTCATGGCACTGGGAGAGTGAACAGAAACCGACGGTCAGCCTCGGTCCCTCTGGCAGGTCCAACCCACCGGGCCCTTTTGACCACTGGAAATCACTCACTTCGGAGGGCGGACTGATGGCAACTGTAGGACCGACTACCAGCACCAGCACCTCTGCCAGGTCACCGAAACCCTGCCACCAGGGCCCGAAACCGAAGCCTCCATGCTGGATCTGACGCCGTTGGGTTTCGGTGCTGGTAGAGACCGATCTGACGCCGATCTGACCGTTGTCCTTCCCACGATGGGCACGAGGGGATCGTCCGATGGCTCGATGGGGCCGCGGCGAGGTGGTGGCTCCATCTCGACCAAAGGAAGGTCCTCCCTGGATGGTCCCTGGGTAAGGCCCACTGGAGCTGAAATGCTTGAGGGGTTGAAGGGGGGGTTGAAGGTGTTGAAGGGGGTGAAGGTGTGGTGGCAAAAGAGACTTCACCTTCCTAAGGCCAGCTCTTGGTGGGGAAGGTAGAGTCAGGAGTGTGTGCTTGGATTTGGGAGACGGAGAACTCTATAGAACTCTTTCTAGGAAAGGGGCAGAGGAAGACCTGCTTTGGGGAACAACTTGTATTTCTTTGACCCATCAAGCCAAATGAACGTGAATGACACCGCACATTTGCCTGTTTTGGTCTTGGCACGTCCGGGGGTTGGTGGAAGTGAGGCCTGCGAAGGGAAACCAACCTGACAGAGTGAACTTGGTGACGGGTTTCAACTGGACTGCTGATGGTCGAGGGAAAATCCTACACCACCAAGTATGGGAAAATGGGACGCTGCTGATCCTATCTTTTGCACTTCTCTAAGAACCTTGTAGTAGAGGTTTTGGATGCTTCATTCTGGTGCTCTTTGCCTCCTCGTGTGTTCACGTCGCATCTCCGCCTTTTTTTTGTTGCTTTTTTGAGCACGTTTTGGACGCGCCAGGCAGGGCCAGGAGCATACGCGCAAATCCGCATGGACCTCAGTATGAAGGCGTGGAAGCAGGATGAAAGAGGGGATGATGCCACCCGATCCTTTTTGGCAACAAACCTCATCTAGATGGCGGATGAAACAAATCTCTCAGGACTGGAGATGTCTTTCACCATTCTGAATCCAGGGGGGGTGATTTCATGGATGATTCTTCAGCTGTCAGCCAGTCCCAACTTGAGCCACTCGGGCATGGCATACACAACACGAGCTTTCCAAGTTTCTGCTTCGGATGGTCACCCGCCATTCCATACCAACGACCTGAACTTCTTCCATTATAGCGAGCGCCACCATCTCTGTCTTCAGAGACTCAGGTTGCACGCTTTTACAAACATAACATTAAAACGCATGCACATCTAAGTATATGATTTGCTTTCTAAACTGGAATACAGTCTTTAAGATCAGCTGCGGCCCAACGCACCGCATTCGTCATCCACGGCGCGGTTCCCTTGTTGCGCCGAGCCACAACCTCTGATCGTCCCAGTTCGGCCAGAACACATGCACCCCCGCGAGCATCGCGTGGAAATGAGTGAGACCACGGTCTTGGACCTATGGCCTGATCGCAGGAATTCACGTAGCATTTTCCCTAGGCTTCCTGGCCCACCATTCATTTTTATACATTTTTATAGGTTGACCGAATCAACGAAGGATTTTACACCAAAGCGTCGTGGTCGAAGGCTTTACACTGCGCTGTGTAGAGTCTCGCGGACTCGCTGCCGGTCAGAGATCAATGGTCGAGCACGAGTCGTCCGGTCGGCTCGGAGTCTCCTGGATCGACGAGAGACGAGACGATGACCGTCCTAAGGAAATGAGGACCGAGGCGCTGCCTGCCGCGCCTGCGCATGCGCATGTGGGTACTGTTGTCAGAGTGTGTTGCAAGTGGGAATCTCCATCCTGAGGACCTGGCGAGGACCAATTTCGATCGATTTCTGAGAGGGTGGAAGAACCACGCTCTTAGGAAAAAGAAACAGCACTAAGCTTGGAGGGGTCCTAGTAAGGAAACATGTGTGTTGAGCTCTAGGGGCAGAAATGTCCGAATCCCCGAACATATCACCCAGAATATCTAGGCACAGAATCTCTATTTGGTTCACCCACATTGCTTGAATTTCTTGGGCCAACCTGTTGAACCAAACCTGACACCAGGCATGGAAATGTCCCACCAGTCGAGAAGAGATGCAACCGGCGGTGTGCGCCAAGCAGGCCGGAAACCGGTTTCCGTTTGGGACGGGGATCTGAGATGAAGGGACTCTGGCAAAGATGGGGTTGAACATCAACAGGATTCATCAAAGGTGGCAGCCGGATTCCGACGTCTCAGGCCATGAGATCAATTAGGATCTGCAATTATCACTTGATCAAACCCAAACATCTCTGCACCGTCCAAGAATCTCCCGCGTCTCCCCGTCCGGGACAGCCCAATCAACGCCGGTGTGTGCAGGTGCTGGATTGGTGGCCTTACAGCAGTCCGGCGCCCTTGCCCAAGGTGAAGTTGAAGCGGCGCTAGGTCGCCGCCGAAGGCGGCGCCAGTCAGGTGGTAGGTTAATGGCTTCCCCGACACCGGGTGGTGGGGGCGGGCGCGTCTTCAAGAGACTGAAGATGAGCGGGAAAGTGAGGGTTGCTGGAGAAGTCTGCAGTTCTACAAGATGTCTGAAGATATCATTTTTTTTGTTTTTTCTTCAATTGTTCATCCTCTTTGTCCCAGAAGAT